AAAAATTCTGGAGTACAAGCCGGGGATTTAGCTCAGTGGTTCCGCCACCTGCCTCGCAAGCTAAGGACCCGAGTTTGATTGATCCCTGGTACCAAAAAAAAAAAAAAAAAATTCTGGACTAGTGTTTTCTTCTAGGAAGGCATTTCCTTTCTACTGACTCAGTTTATATTATGGTTATAGGTTTATTTTTTTCTTGAGTCAATTTTAGTAAGTTTATATTTTCCTAGATATTTAGCTGCATTTTCAAATTTATTGGCATAAAATATTTTACAATATTCTCTTTTCTTTTTTGTGTGTTTGCTGTACTGAGAATTGAACCCAGGGTCTTGCACAAGCTAAGCAATAGCTATACATCCCCAGCCCTTTAACAAACATTTTCTATTGAGACAAGATCTCACTAAGTTGCCCACGTTGGCCTTGAACTTGTGATTCTCCTGCCTTGGCCTCCTCTAGTCTTTTTAATCTATGTGCATTCATACATTACTCATTCCAAACACTGTCTCCATTTGTACCATCTCTCTTTCCCTTAATCAGTCTTGCTAGAGAATTGCTTTTTTCAGAGAACAAATTTTTGGTTTTACTGGTCTTTTCCATTTTATGTTTGTTTTCAATGTTGTCTTTCTTTCAAGTTATTCTGTTATTTTATGATAATTTAAAAATGATGCTTGCTTCACTAATTTTCTTTTTTCCTTCTAATAAAATTGATTCAAACTGCAAATGAGCCTTTAAATATTGCTCTTGCTGCACCCACAGATTTTAATATACTCTTTCTTATCATTATTCATCTCAATATTTTATAATTTTCATTAAGATTTTTCTTAATAGGGCCGGGGATTTAGCTCAGTGTTTTCGCTGCCTGCTGCGCAATCACAAGGACCTGAGTTCGATCCCCAGTACCAAAAAAAAAAAAAAAAAGATTTTTCTTTGATCTCTGTGTTACTTAAAGTGTATATCTTCATTTCCAAGCTTATTTGTTTGCTGTTGTTATTGCTTTCTAACTGTGGTCAGAGAAGGTGGTCTTCTTAGGAGTTTTCTAATATAGTGCCACTCACCATTTGTGTCCATTGAGCATTTGAAATTTGGCTAGTCTATGCTGAGATGTACATAAAAGTAAGGTACACACTGGATTTCAAAGACTTACTACCAAAAAAGGTAAAAAGATCTTAATAGTTTCTTAAATTGATTACATATTGAAATTATAGTATTTTAGATATATTTAGTTAAAGAAAATATAAAATTAATTTTACTTGCCTTAAAGAATATTATGTTACATTTCTACTGGGCAGTAAAAAATATTAAAGACTTTTGAAATTTGTTAATATTTGCTTTATCACCTACACTGTGCTAAGTTTTCATAGATGTTACGTGTATACTTGAAAAGAATATGTTTTCTCTGGTTGTTAGAGGAGTGGTATCATATATATGTACACATATTAATGTTATTTTTGTTAAGTCTTTTTATCCTTACTAATTATTTTGTCAGCTAGATTAATAGCTATTCTATATCTGTATAATAGGAGGGATTGCTTGAAGCCAGGAGTTTAAGGCTAGTCTGGGCAACATAGAAAGACTACATCTCAAGAAAAAGAGAGGAAGGAAGGAAGGAAAGAAGGGAAAAACAAAAAGATACAGTATATGCTTTTACAATGGTGAATTTGTCTTCAAATTTTTGTAGTTCTGTCAATTTTTCCTTTACAGTTTTTGAGATTCTATTACTAGATTTTTTTTTTTTTTTTTTGGTACTGGGGATCGAACTCAGGACCTTGCGCTTTCGAGGAAGGTGGCTGAACCACTGAGCTAAATCCCCAGCCCCTGTTACTAGATTCTTATAAGTTTTGAGATGTTATAGCTTCCTGATGAAACTGCTTATCCTTATGTTTTGAGGTCTTTGCTTCTAGTTATTTTTGCCTCAAGGTTTGTTTTATCTGATATTAATATAGTTACAAAGCTTTATTTTGAGTGATATATTCTTGTTCACCCATTATTCCACTTTTTCTTTTAACTTCTTTTTGTATTATATTGTTTTAGAAGTAGATCTTTATAATTGTTTTTTCTTTCTTTAAAGATTGGTAATTTTTCTATTTATCTGAAGTATTAGTTCATTTAAGTTTCATGTAGCTGCTGATTTATTTGCATTTGTTCCTACCATCTTTTTTTATTTTTTAACCACCCTAGAGGTTGAGCTACATCTCTTACCTTTTGTTGTTTGTTTAAAAACAGTGTTTTGCTAAGTTGTTCAAGCTGGGCTCAAATCTGTGATCCTCCTGCTTTGGTCTTCCAGATTGTTGAGATTATAGGCAGGTGCCACAATGCCCAGCCGTATTTCTACCATCTTAATTTGTGTTTTTATGACCTGCATTTCTGTATTCTTCCCCTTTTTATTGCTTCCTTTAAAGTTGAGTATTTTTCTTCCTTTTTATTCTTCTGATAGTTTAGAAGTTTTCTATGTCCTGTGGAATATCCTTTTGTTGATTCTCTTAGAAATTTTAAAATGAATAAAGTTAAAATCTTTGTCATCCTCTGAAATGACATATGGAGCTTGGAATGCTTTAATTCCAAGCATGTACCATCTCGATTTATGTACTATTGTTGACAAGTAGAACTGGTCCTTATTTTTTTAGTCCCAGAAGTTGCACACTGTTATCATAATCTTTGTTTAGATTTAATATATTTATCATTTTCTTTGCTCAGCATTCCTCATTCCATCTCAGCTTTTTATTTTATTTATTTATTTATTTATTTAGGTACCGGGGATCGAACTTGGGTCCTTGTGCTTGCGCAGCAGGCGGTGAAACCACTGAGCTAAATCCCCGGCCCTTTCTCAGCTTTTTAAGTGAGATCATTTTTCTTCTGCCTCAAATTAATCCTTTAGCATTTTGTTTATTGAGTAGAATTTACCAAGAACAACAGCTTTTTTTGTTTTTCTCCACAGTATCCTTATTCTTCCAGAATATTTTGCCTGAGTCTACAATTGAGTTATTTTCTTTAAGCAGGTTAAAAATAGTATTCCATTATGTTTTACTTTTCATTACTACCCTTGAAATGTTAGCTGTTAGCCTAATTGCCAACCTTTTATAGACGCCATGTCTTTTAGTGGATTGCATTCCAGCCCAGAAGTTAAAGGTGTGCTCTCTAGTATCAGACTGCCTGGATTTAAATCCTAGCCCCTTGGTTTGCTAGCTGGGTGATTTTGGGCAAGGCAGTGCACCTCTCTGTGGCTCAATTTCTCTTCTGTCAAATGTGGGCAGTACCACTGCCTACTTCATAAAGTTGTGGTGAGTATTAAATGAATAGGTAAAGCACTCACAATAATAGAACATTTTAGGTTAAAGTTCTATTAAATTTTCTCTTGGTGCTTTTAGCATTGCCTTGTCATTGGTGTGGGTGTGTCTGGGTGTGGATTTCCTTTTATTTTTCCTGCTTGAGATTCACCGAACTTTTTGAATCTGTGAATTGTTGTCTTTTTTCAGTTCTGGAAAATTCTTAGACATATATCTTCAGATACTTCTTCTGCCCCATTTTTGCTCCTCTCTCCTTCTGGAACTTTACTTAGATTAATTAGTCTCTTTCACTTTCACTCTTATCTTTGCATCATTCTGTGTATCCAAATTCTGTATAATGTCTTTAAATCTATCTTCTAGCTCACTAATTTGTTTCAGCTGTGTCTAATATGCTATTAAACCTATATATAGAGTTTTTCATTTTAATTATGCTTATATTTTTTATTTCCAGAAGTTTTTTTTGGTTCCCAACCAAATCTGTCTTTTCTTGGGGGGTGGAGGGGAGCCTTTTACCTTTCATGTGTTTGGCTCCTATTATTCCTTTAAATATATTATACGTGCATATTTTGTATTCTGGCCGGATACATCCGGCATCTAAAGTCTTTGCTTATTCTGCTGCCTGTTGTTTTGAGCCTAACACTGATGTTGGGGACCCTTGAGGACAGGGCTGAGCAAAAGGCTTTAAACTGTGAAGGGCTGGTCTTAATATCTTTTCTGTTCCTCTTTCCCCAGATGTCTCCTGTTTTCATTTTATTCTCCCTCATTCTCAATTACTTTTTTGAAAGGCTGATTCATTCCTATGGTTAAAAAAAAAGTGAAAAGCTCCCTCCCAGCACCCAGGCCCTTCCCTGCTGGCAGCAGGTGATTAGGTTCTGTGGATACTTCCAGAGATTTTTTTATGTGTATTCAAGCAAACACAAATTTAAAAATTCATTCTCTCTTCAATGCAAAAGGTAGCATACTACACATACTGTTCTGCACTTGCCTTTTAATAAAAAGTATGTTTCTGATTATAGAAGAAATACATGCTCATTTTGAATAACATAAATATCCAAGTATGTACATGTAGATAATGAAAGTCTCCCTGGAATTTCATTCCCCAGAGGTAACTTCCATTATGCATCTATAAATATATATTTACATAAATGGGCTTATGCAACATTGTTCCATAACCTTTTTTTTTTTCTCTCTCAGTAATACACTGACATTTTTTCACACATCTTTTCACATCTGCACCTAGCTTAGTGGTTGTGTGGTGGGACCTTGGAGTCAGATAGAACTAGGTTCTAACACTAGCTGTGCAGCTTAGTAGCTATAGGACTTTTCAGGGCCCCTCTGAGCCTCAGTGTCCTCGTTTGTAAAGTGGTAGGATAGAAAAAATACATCCTCCTGGTGTTGTTCTGAACCTTAATAAGATCCAGTATGATATGCCTCCTCCAGGACCGGCTACTTTAGAAGCCCTAGTAGAAGATAATTTTTACTGTGACTCCCTCACCCTTTTGAACAGCCACATTAAATTTATAGTGTGTTGTGTCACCATTTATTAACTGTTCCCCTTTTAATGGACATTGGATTGTGCCCAGCCTTTTTGCTAGAAATGCCAACCCAGGGAATGCGGTACATCCTTTCAAAAACAGTGTCTTCCTGTGAATTCCCTGCTGGGGTGGGGGGCCACAGGGTCCTTTAGAGTCTAATCTCTACATCCTGTTTCTCTCCCAGGAGGCAGTAAAAATGCCCTGTGGGGTGAAGCATGTGTGTTACGTAGGTTTTTACTTTTTTTTACTATTGTCCCTCTTCTCCCCTTTGCTCAGGTGTGGGGGGTGGGCGAAACAGACTTTCCTCTGGCCTGCCCCTCTCTTGTGCAGCTCAGTACTCCCCTTCCTCTGTGATGCTCAAGCTTAGATGTTTAGTTTCCCCCATACTTTGCAACCTGACCATTCTATGATCATTCAAGGGTTAGTTTTTAGACACACTTGCCTTGAAAATAACATCTGTAGTTTGCAAATAAATTAAAAGAACATGCTTAAAATGAAATAAAAGCCTAAACAACAAAAAGGAGAAGGAGATGGAAAATCTCATTCTAACAGTCTCTTACTTTCTACCAATCCTGGAAATACACAACTTCTTAGTCCAAAATTAATATTGAGCTTCCTAGCAGCCATAGTAAAAAGGGAGGCAGAATAGATTCCGTAGCTCATTAAAAGATCACAATGGGTTCCGCATCTTAAGTGGTCACGGAGGGATTTCTCTCAGGAGCAAGAAAGAAGTGATCAGCAGCCTTAGACCTTGAAAGGGGCATGACTGAGTTTTGAGGAGGAGAAGGTGAATCCCAGCAAGATACATCTCTGGTCAGAAGAAAGGTGAGAAGAGTCCTAGAGCAGGGCCTGGTCAACTGTGAATGTGCCAGGGATTGGAGGGGAAAAGGAGAAGGAAAGAATGCGACAGTTCTTTTCCTGGGACAGAAGCAATCAGCAGACATTTATTGAACCCTTTAAGTGCCAGGCCTTTTGGAGACTTTGGGAAGACAGTGGAGACCAAGGCAGGTGCATTCTATGTTCTCACAGAGCTTACAGTGGCTGGTGAGGCCAGCTCTGCGGGGCAGGTTCTGAAGTGCTGTCTCCCTGCAGCTGGGTTCTGAGGCAGCGATCCAGCTGCTGGGGGCCATCAGCCATGGCCAGGCAAGTGGACAGCAGCCGTCCCAGCTGGAGTCTCTGGAGAACTTGGAGATCAGCTCAACGTCACCTTCCCAGAAGCCCAGAACCAGAAAAAGGCCTGTGGCTCAGGGCCCTGCTGCAGGCCAGGTACATAGCCAGCTTCCTTACACAGGTGACATGCTTAATCCTCCTGGAACGATCCCCCTGATTCACAGAGATCTCACTGAGGCCAGAGAGATGGCTATTGCTTGTTCAGGGTCACACAGAATAGCCAGGGACGGGATTAGCCTCCATCTGCCTGGCTGGTCCAGCTGTGTGCTCTTCATCTGAATGCGGGAGCTGGGTGGAGAAGGGAAGATAGTGCATTCAGAGAGGCCACAGTCACAGGTCTTCAATCCTAGGCAACCAGCGTGTCCTGCTGCCCCAGGAGTCTTGTCTGTCTTCTACAGGAGGGAAAGCATGAACTCTGGAGGCCTCTCTGGCACCTCCTTCCTCTGAAAAACTGTTTCTTGCCCCCTCAGGGTCCCCTCCTCTGTAGCTGAGTGTCCAGGGGTGAGTGTGGCTGTTTCTGCCACATAGCCCCCATATCTGCAGTGTGGGTCAGGGATTAGGCAGGAGCAGGCAGCAAGTGATGTCCCCTGAGCCACAGGCTGGGCCTCAGCTCCTCCCCTCTCCCTCTAGGGTGGCCTAGAGGAGGCTGTGAAAGGGGAGCCTCTTCTAGAGGTGGCAAAGAACTCAGGTGAGGCTCTGGAGAAGGCTACTGGAAGTGGGAGGATTCAGGGGCCAGGTGGCCCCTGCTGGAATTCTTTTTTTTTTTTTCTTGGTATTGGGGATCGAACTTGGGACCTTGCAGTTGCAAGGCAGTCAGCGGCACCACTGAGCTAAATCCCCAGACCCTGCTGGAATTCTTTTGTTCCCTTCCTCATCGGCCTAAAGTCCTTCCCCAAGGGAGTGGGGGTTGCTGGTTGGCTGGGCTCAACTCCCAAACCTATGGGGGAACCCCTTGCTTGTCTGCCTCAGCCCAAGTCTGCCCCTTTTCATGCCCTTGGAACCCCCAGGAGCACCTAAGTCTCTCTCCCTACAGCTCAGCTTCAATTTGGAGAGGAGATAATAGCCCTGGATCTTGACATACGGGTCACTGTGGTCCGTGCCCTGTGGGAGGCGCTGTGGAGTCGGTAAGGCCTTGCTCCCCACTTCCCCATTGTTCTGACAGGCTGCCCTGCTGGCTGCCGCCTCTTGGGTTAGGCCACACACTAAGGGCTTCTGTATGTGTGACTAACCCCACTCCGTAGCTCAGAGGTCGTGCTGGCCCACACAGCCAGCTGGTGGGGAGCTAACATTTGAACCTGAGTGTCTCTGGCTTCAAGATCTTGCTTTCCCTTTAGCTACTGCAGCTCTCAGTGTCTGCTCAGGTCCTGTAGATGTCACTGAGCAGATGCTTCCAGGCACAATTAAAGTCTGTGCCGGGAACGTCTGAGAGATCAAAGCTGAGAGCTCTCCTTTACTGATGGTGGGACCAAGGCTCAGTGAGGGCATGACTTTGCAGAGGCCACATGGCAAATCGGTGGCGGATTCAGGGTTGCCTCCATCCTCCTCCCCTGCTGATGCCTTACCCTGCTTCCTCCCCTCTACACATTCCCCGGCTCCAGGGGCCAGGGACAGAGCATGGGCCTGGGCCGAGGGATCTGGATTTGAATCCTGCTTTGCCACTGGTCATGGGGCCCTGGGCAAGGCTCTGGTCTCCTCAGTCTCAGCCTCCTATGAAGGGAGAATGGCCATGTTTCTTCCTCACAGAGGTGGGTGAGACTAAACAGGCCCCTGTAGGAAAATGCCCATCACAGAAGTGAGTTGGCCCAGATCCTGTTCCCACCCACACGTCTTCCCCTGGGGCTAAGTGCCTGGATAACCACAGGCGTTTAGTTCCCTTAGCCCTGCCCTTGTCCCCACAGTGTTCAGGAGCTTCCTGACCTGGGGCTGAGTGAGGAGGTGGTGGAGGGCATCGCTGCTGGCATCGAGGCTGCCCTCTTTGACCTCACACAGGGCACCAGCTGCCGGTACAAAATCAAGTATCGCAGCCTGCTCTTCAACCTTCGTGACCCCAGGAACCCAGTGAGTGAGGCTTTGGCCCGGGCCAGGCTCTCCCTTCAGGATGCCAAGTGCTGGCAGGATGCTGGGGTGGGAGCATTCAGCGTGTTGTGCGTGGCCTCTGCCCCCTGTCCCTGCAGGACCTGTTTCTCAAAGTGGTTCATGGAGACGTCACCCCTCATGACCTGGTGCGGATGAACTCAGTCCAGCTGGCCCCCCAGGAGCTGGCCCGCTGGCGGGACCAGGAGGAGAAGAGGGTGAGCTGTGTGGAGCTGGGGCACAGCAAGATGGAAGGAGAGGGTAGCCCAAGGGTGGGAGAGAGAGAGCAGAGTAGAAGATAGATGGAGAGGCAGGAAAGTACCAGGCAGAGAAACAGAACTGAGGAGAGAAGGCAGACAGGGAGAGAGTTGGAGACCTTCCTGGTAGAAAAGTAGGAAAAGAGGTAGGAGTGTGAGGCACTGGGACAGGGCTCTGCAAAAGTGGTGCACTTGGCTTTCTGTGGAGCCAGCTTGGTAATGGTGGCAGCGATGGCAAAACTTTCAAAGCTTTCAGTGACACAGCCTGCTGCAGCACACATGCCATAGGTTGGGCACCACTGCTCTAGAGTCCGGAGTCCAGGCTGGGAAGTCTCCAAGTGCCCCTCTCCCTCTCCTTCCAGCCTCTGAAGCCTTGGAAAAAGGTGCACACCTTCCTGGTATCCCAGGCTGGGACACCCTGGGAACTCTGGGGGATAAGGAGAGTGTGGGCTGAGCCAGCTCTGGAGGAGGTTGACCCGTTGCTTGTTGGGGCCCTCCTGATCAAGGGCTGAGGCCCTGGGACAGGGCAGGGTGCTGAGGTGCTGGTCCAGAAGACACTGTGCTGATCAGCATTCCTAACCAGAGCCCATTAGGTGAATCTATCCACTTGTGGCTGAGCTTCTGTCTGGGCGCTGTGTGGGGCCAAGGGGCAGGACCAGCTAGGTGATTTGTCAGGGCCAATGCAGCATGAAAATGTGGGGCCCTTTGTTCAACAACCATGAAGAATTTCAAGGTGATGACAGCAAAGCATTAAACCAAGCATGGCCCCTACTAAGTTCAGGGCTCTGTGTGACTGCACAGGTCCCACCCTTGAAGCTGAGCTGCCAGGGAAGTAGGACCCTTTCCTCTGGGACTGTTAGAAAAGGAGAGGTGAGCCTTTGAGAAACATATCAGGCAGGGTGACATTGATCAAGAATGAGAATCACGGCTAGGATTTACTATGAGCCTCAGTCTAGGCCAGGGCCTCTGCATGTGCTGTTTGATATGATGCTCTTAATGTAATCATCAATGAACAGATAAACTGAGGCTTAAGGTACAGAGTCCTGGCCCAAGGCCATACTACCTTCTAAGTCTTTGGGAAGGTGTGATCAGAGACAGAATTGACTTGCAGGGGAAAGCAAAGTCCAGGAAGGCTTCCTGGAGGAGGCTGGCTTTGAGCTGAAGGGTGAATGAGTTGAATCTAGAGAGGCAGGGCTGAGAGTGGCCAGCTTTCCAGGTGAGAGGAGCAGCAGAAGCATGCATAGAGGCAGGGGGTGGCCAATGTGGGAGGGAGACCAGCAAAGGGCCCACCAGGTAAAAAGGGGCTCCTGGGCCTTTAGGGCCAGCCAGAGACCACCCTAACCCTGCTGAGCCGGCCTCTTCAGGGACTAGAGATCATTGCACAGCAACAGAAGGAGCTACACAGACTTCCGACCTCCAAACTGACCCACAAAGGCGAGGTGGAGATTCTGCGGGACACAGACCAGATGCTGACCCTGGAAGACCTGGTGGTAAGCAGGGCCTGAGCTGGTGTTGGCAGGACCCATGTGTAAGGACCCTTCTCCTCATCCCACTAACTGTGGCTGTGGGCAAGTCACCTGTCTGCTGTAAGACCCACCTTGTTTACGGTAAAGCAGGGACAGCCTGGGTCTCTCCATACCTTCTTCACACTGGTCACCCTCCTCCTGGTCCAACTCCAAGGCTGCACTCAAGTGGCACAAAGGCCTATTTCTGCAGTCACCCCAACTTCAGCTCAGCTTCCGCCTGGTCTGTGACTGGGAAGCAGGGGAGCCACAATACTCCAGGCAGAGACTTTTCCAGATGTAAGGAAGAGACTTGCTGTATTTGGTGGACTAGAGCTGGGCTGGGCAAGGAGCCACCCAGCACCCAGGCCAGTCGGGCCAGAGGGCCTCCTGGAACTTGCCCTAGCTTCTAGAGGAGGGCCCAGAGTCTAGGCCCCTCTTGTCCCCAGGAATGGGCTCCACCTTTGTGCACATCCTGTGCCTTTCTGCCCCGGGCTCCATCTTCCACAGAGCCTGACATGGTGGCCCAGCAGCCCCAGAATCTAACAAGAGGCCTAGAGCTTCCCCTTGGCTCACTTTAGTCATTCTCAGAAGAAGGCCACTCTGGCTTGGTTTGGGTGTTCCATGGGTTACATGTCACTTGGCTCTAATCAGCTGTGTGTCCAGGGAGAGGGGTGCAAGACAGGCCCCTTCACCCTTACTTGTGCACTCAGTACATATTTATGGAGCACCTGCTGGGGATAGGGACTGGGGAAATGGCAGTGAACATGACAAAACTGCCTGCTCCCCACACCTCCCACCCGATATTCAGGCCAAGGAGAACTGCTCTCTGTGCAGAGCAGTGTCCTAAGGGGGTGTGGCTGCTCCCCAACAAAGCCAAATTTCCTGAATACACCAAGTGTCAGTGTAGGGGTGGAGCTGGGAACACTGAAAGAGAAGCTCTCAGCCCTAAGAGAGAGGAAGAAAGAGAGGAGGTGGCACAAGGGAAGGAAAATGACACTCAGTAGCAGTCTTTACTCTGTATTGGACACCTGCTGTGTGTCCCTTTACCAAAGCACCTCATTCAAACCATGCAGTGACCTACATGGTGAGGGCTATCCCTGTGCTGTTTCTGGGAGGAGGAACTGGAAGCCATCGGCTCAGGGTCACATGGTGTGCGGTGCTCGAGCTGAGATTTGAACCTGGGCTGTCTCACTCCACAGCCTGTGCTGTGGCACTGCTCTGCTTTTGAGGTGGTTATAAGGCGAGGCTAGAGTTTCAGAATCTTCTTAAAGCTTCCTAAAGAGCAGTGTGTGTGCGTGTGTGTGTGTGTGTGTGTGTGTGTGTGTTTATATCTATTTCTGTTATGAGGGGAAAAGTGATTTGGTCCCAGACATTGAGTCTTTGTGGTGTTTGGGGTGGGGGTACTGGAGCTTGAACCCAGGGCCTTTGCACTGAGCTCATCTCCAGCCCTGTTTTTATTTTTTTATTTTTTATTTTTATTTTTTGGTACCAGGGATCGAACTCAGGTCCTTGTGCTTGTGCAGCAGGCAGTGAAACCACTGAGCTAAATCCCCAGTCCCCTGCTTTTATTTTTTGAGACAAGTTCTCAGTAAGTTGATAGACTGCCCAGGATGGGCTCACACTTTCAATCCTCTTGGCGCTGACTCCCAGGATGCTGGGATTACAGGTGTGCATCACCATGCCTGACTACCAAGGGTCTTTAAAATGATCATTCTCTCTGATTCTGTCATCTGCTTCCGAGAACTTGACCCAAGGAAAGAATGTAAAATTTAGGAAAATATTTTCTGTGCACAGATGTCCTCTAATTTTAGTCATAAGAGTGAAAACCCAGGGGCTGGGGATTTAGCTCAGTGGTTTCACTGCCTGCTGCACAAGTGCAAGAACCCGAGTTCGATCCCTGGTACCAAAAAAAAAAAAAAAAAGAGTGAAAACCCAGAAATGACCCAGAGGTGACAGAAGTGACATCGACACTCCACCCATGGGTGGTGCCACCAGGGGCTAAATAATGTGGCAAAGGCCTCTGCTACAATTAATGGAGAGAATAAGGATCAAAGTTGAATATTTGGCCCCAGCTATTTTGGCAAAAGGACCCCTCCCAACCCTGTATATAGAAAAACGATTATAAAGGAATCCCCAGAACATCAACAGTTGTCTGAATGGTGTAACAAGGGATGATTTTTTAAATTTTTTGTATTTTCCAGTTTTTTACAAGTTCATAGTATTTTGTGATAAAAATGTTACTTAGGAAAATAAAATAAACCACACCCTGAGGCTCCCTACCGACGGAGGCTCCCTCTCACTGACTTCCCAGTCCCCTTCCTATTTTTCTCTTTCTGCTCCTCTGCCTTGCAGGGACCTGTGGTGTCTGGAGACTGCAGCCCACAGGCCCTGCCTGCCCTGCTGAAGGACATCACCGAACAGCACGATTGCCACTTCCTAGACCCAGACTGCCTCATTTGCGCAGGTGTGAGGGATGTGGGAGTAGTGAGGGGCCCTGCTTCAAGGCCTGGGGTAGCTTCCACCTCTGCCTGCCTGCTTCAGCTCCTGCCTCTGTTGTTTGCAGAGTCTTTGAGTGAGCTGCCAGGCTTCTCCAGAGCCTCCAGGAACAGCGGGGAGAGTGCCTTCCAGAGAGCCCCAAGCCCAGCTCCTGTGTCCTCTCCAGAGTTGTCCAGAGCCAGGGAGACACCTCCCACGGAGCCCCAGGACAGGTGTGGGGCTGGAGCTGGGAGGTGGCAACCCTACAGGCTGGGTGGGGGAGTCCACCAGCTGGGGCAGCAGACATACACAGCAGGGGCATTTCTTCCTATGTGGCCGTGGGCAAGCCTTTCTGCCTCAGTTTCCCCATGTGTACAATAGAGCAGATCATCTCAATTCCTCCCTGCCTGAGTCCATACTTGGACCAGTGTTGGTCCTTGCAGTGGGGACACAGCACCTGCTCTGGAAAGGAAGGAGGTGCTGGGTGGTCCTGATGACCCACACTAGTTAACCCTGTCCATCTGTCTCTCCCTCTAGGTACCAGATGTCTGCTGGGTCCACAAAGGCTCTGCCCAGCCCACCTCTCTGGGAGGGGGCACTGGACATGTTTACCATCAAGCACTTCCGGGCTAGGGCCCAGCTGGTCTCAGGACGCAGCTGTCGGCTCATCCAGGTTTGCCTGCCCTGCCCTCCAGAGGCTCCCTCACATGCTCCCTAGTGAGCTCCTCAACAGCCTACTTGCTCATTCACCCATGTATTCTGTTACTCACTCTGCCCTCTCTGGGCCTGGGCTTGTGCTAGGAATCAGGACAAATGAGATGCCAGCTCCATTTCTGTGGAGACACAGAAGATGAAGCACCTTAAAGCAAGAAGGGCACAGGAGAGACATCTGGTGCCTCTCTGGCCCAGGGGAGAGTTTTAGAAGTTATTGTTAAATGACTGAATGATGAGCTAAAATGTTGGATGAGGGTGGCAGGTTAGCAGATGGAGTGGGGGCTTTTGAGAAGATGTAGGAGATTGGTCAGGACAGGCCATGGGCCTCTGGAGTGGTTAGAGTTCTCTAGGCAGCCACTGAGGGGTCCAAAACTACCTAGCCATCTTCTTTGCTTCAGGCTTTGGCCTTCTAGGTGTCTGGGGATGAGTTTGCCTAAAAAGGTGGGGAGCTGGGGTCTGAGGCCATCCCACCTGCCCCCAGGCTCTGCCCCAGGTGATTCGCTCAGCAGGTCGCATCCCCCCTACCACTGTCTGGGACCTTCTGACCAGCATCACTCCAGCTGAGGCCAAGGTAACTGCCTGCTCTTGGGTACCCCTCTTCACCTGGCTCCTGATCCTCCCGCCTCGCTCTCTCCCTCTCAATCCCTGGTGCACAAGGCTGGTTTGGGAAATCCAAGTCTAGTTCCCAGTGTGGCTGCAGACTCACTGAGTGACCTGGGGATGTCCCTCTGCTTCCTCCACTGGGAAATGGGGACAGTTCCTACAGGGTTCTCAGAGGTTTAGATGTCTGCAGACAGAGAGGACCATCGCTCTCAGCTGCTCTTCTCCTCTGCCTGCAGGATGTCTCTGTGGTCAGACTGTGTCCCCAGGGTGCTCAGGACACTGAGAACTGCCACTTACTCTACTCCTACCTCAACAACAAGCAGTGCCATGGACTGGCCTCTCTGCAGCACATGGGGGTGGTCCTGCTGCCCCTGCCTGCTTTCCAGCCACTGCCCACCAGACTGCGCCATCTGGGTGGCCCAGGTGAGTGCCCAGTGTCTGCAGCACACCTGCCTCCCCTGACTTGCTGAGCAGATTGGGCACTGTTGACATAGTTGCCTCAGCAGAGACAGGCACATCGCAGAAGGGAACACCTGCCACATGCAGATGGAACAAAGAGAACAGTAATAGCTCAGGCTAGGGGTGTGGCTTAGTGAAGAGCGCATGCCTGGTGTGTGTACATGTGGTCCTGGGTTTGATCCTTAGTGCTGGCAAAATAATCATAGCTCATACTTGAATGTTGCTTATGATGTGCCAGCCATTGTTTGAAAAGCTTTACCTAGATGAAGCCTTCTTTTTCTTCCTCTTCTCTTCCTCCTTCTCTTTTTTCAGTGATGGGCATTGAACTTAGGGCCTCATACATGCTAAGCATGTGCAGTCAGACTCTTTGCCTAGATGAATTCTTTTTAGTCTCAAAATAGCCCTATCAGAAGAGTGCTCTTAGATTCTCTATTTCACAGATAAGGAAACTGAGGTAGGGAAAAGGCAAATGACTTGCCCAAAGTCATACAGCCAGTCAGTAGCAGAGCCAGCTTCATACCCCGGCATCCTGGCTCCAGAAACTGGCTCTTGACACTGCCTGTCCAGTTAGACACTGCTGAATAGAACCTTTGGGGCAGCCACATTTGACCCAGGGGCAGCTGAACAGAGATAAGACCCCCAAATTGAAAATGTCACTAATGACAGGAGGGACAGGTGTTTCACCAAAGCTGTGCTGGGTGAAGTCTGGCCTCTGTGTAGTTATTACTCCAGGGAAGGCACCATGGGGAGGAGGGCTGGGGACTCAGGGGTCAACTCTACCTTTGTGGTACAAATTGCTTGGCCTTTCTGGACTGCGTGTCCTGGAACAAGGAAGACTTTGAATCCATAGAGCCTTGGGATCAATCCGTCCATGCCCCACCATCAGCCAGAACAACCTTGATCTCCCTGGAACTAAATCTTCCCAGACAGGCTCACCCTCCCGCTTTCCCAGCCTCCCATGGGTCCCTGCTCACTGCTAGGAAGCTCTGCTTGAGATCTAAACTCCAGACTGTGGCAGATACAGTGCAGCTTTGGGGGTTCTGTTGTCTTCCCACCAGTCCATGGGTCTCTCCCTCCTTCTTTCCTCAGGTCTGGAAACTGCTCACTCGAGCCTGTTGCTGGCTGTGCTTCTTCCCAAAGAAGGGCTTCCAAAGACAGCTGTGTCCAGCACTCGGGGGAAGGTTCAAAAGATAGTCTCCTTCAAGAAGAAAGTGGAGATGAGATACTACCAGCCAGTGTACAGGAAGCCAGATGTGGCCCTAAAAGGCCATCTTCCCCAAGGGGATGCCCTGCAGCAGAGCCAGGACAAGGGCAGCCTATCTCCAGGGGAAGTTTGTGCTTGGCAGAAGTTCCCCAGAGGCCGGGGGAAACCATGGGAAGAGGCTGAAACCTGGCAGAGTCACAGCCAAGGGAAACAGCCCCCAGAACCAGGCTGGTACCAGCCCCAACATCCCTATTTAGTAATGCCAGCTGCCAATGGCTTTGGTTATGGCCACCAGGTCCACAGGGCTTCTTGCCCCCACGAGGTCCTACTCCACCATCTCAGCTCCTTGGTGACCATGAGTCAACAACTCCAAGCCTCACTGAGGCCCTCAGGCCAGGATCCCCTTCTCCCACCCCCTACAGCATTTCCTCAGCCCCCTGCAGCCCCAGGGACTCACGGCCTGCTCTACCAGTCCCCTGCAGCTCCAGAGATCCCTGAGCCAGCCCCTCACCCCTCTTCGGGCCCTGCAGTTGGCACAAAGTGTCCCTTTCCTAGAAAGGCCTGACCCTGGTTATCCATTAGAACAGGGGTTTTGATTCCCTCTCTAGTGCTGAACCAGGGAGAGATGGGGGCAGAGGGAGAGGGTGGCGGGAGGGAAGGGTCAGCTTTCTGTCTGGCCTGTTTGTTTCCTGTTCTGTAGTCTGTTTGCTGTTGGTTTTTGGTTTAATAAAGAATTTGGCGAAGTTAGGGTTGCATCTGCTGGATGACTAGGAGAGACTGTAATCCCAGCCAAAGGGTTTAGGGTCTCTGGGAATTTTTTGTGTACAGATGTGTGGCCTTACCAGTCACTGGTCTCAAACCATCACTGTGCCCTAGAGCACAGCTGTTGCCATGAGAGCATCTGGAAGCATTTCCCAAATATTCTGAACTGAGCGGAAGGATAGGTGATGGGAGAGCAGGCAGGACCAGGCTGTGGAGAGGGAGAGAAGTGGGTTCAGGGGGATAGACACTTAGAGATTGCTAGGGAGCAAACAGAAGACAAGGTGCAGTGGTTTTTAAAACTTCTAAGTATCAAGACCTTCCCCCATCAACAGGATGATAGCACAAAACATCCCCCTATTTCCTGTGTGTGCATGTGTGGTTATCTGTGTATGTCTGATTGCATGTCTGGGTGTAGATCTCTGTTGAGGGTGACTTCTTTCTCTTGTCAGCTCCCAGAAAGGTAGTGGAGAAAGGCAAGGGTCTAGGCCTTGGGTGTTGGAGGCTGATACTAGGGTTGGAAGATGCAGCTTGGCCTTGGTCCTGGGCGAGCTCCTCGCAGACGCTGCAAATGCAAGGTGTCTCGAGATGGGCCCCTCCAACGAGCTGAGGCTGGGGACTGAACTGGGGTGAGCTGGCCCTGGCTAGATAGCCCAGAGCGAGGAAGCAGGCCTGGCTAAGGGGAGAGAACCCTGGCAGGACACCACTCTTCACCCCAGAGCCTGGCGGGGTGTCCCCTCTGCTCACATTTTCTCCGAGTCCACCCGTGTGTGAACTTCACTCTAGACCCTCTTGGACTGAGAAGGGCAACGGCCGTTTATGGGAGCCCCTCTTCTCTAACGCACGAGCTCTGCGCTGCCCTACCCGCAGCCGACAGCAGAGGGGGCCCTCAGCCTTGGGATGGAGGTCAGGGCTGGCAGGACCGAGGCCGAGCTGGGGGCGGAGTGAGGGAATTTAGGAAGGGTTGGCAGAGTGGTGAGGGTGGAGTGCAGGTGGGGGCAGGGAGAAGGAGTTGGTTGGGTGAACCCCAGAAGGGAGCGGGGCCCCTTCGGGAACTTTTCTGGTTTGGAGGGGCAAGGAAACGCACAGCCACCGCGCGGTATGCAAATAACGCAAATTACTATGCAAACCTGCGGCTTGATTTGGAGTTCGCAACTTGGGTGGTTTTCCTTACGCAGTCGGGGCGGGAAGACGGCAATACATCCCTCCTCTCAAGGCCCGGGGTTGCTCCCGGGGAGACGGAGCGTTTGCTTCCCTCCAGGGAATACAGGGAAGAACAAGCTGTGGCTACTGGGGGTGGGCCTTCCTTTCTGAGTTCAGTTTGCCCCTCTGTAAATGGGGATGTTAACGCAGTCCTTTAACGCTTCGTTCTCGGGGAGAGGGCTCTGGGTGGACCGCGAAATCCTGCGGCCTGACTAGAAGCGGGAGCTGAGCCGCACGCCCCCACTCACATGCTAGCCTTCGTCCACAAGCCCCTTGCCTGTCTCTTTTGGTAAGGACCTGGAGCAAAGCTTAGGCGTGACGTTGCTAGGGGGCGTGACCGGCGGTTGCTAGGCTCTAGGGATGTTGCTATGCAACTCTGGGCTGGGCTCGCGTTGCTAGGCCGGAGCTGGAGTAGACCGCTACCGGAAGGGTTTAGTAGCTGGCGCCGCGGGCCGGCCAGGATCGTGACGTTGCGCTCCCCGCTGCTGCTTCTCCGCGGTGTCAGCGTCCTTCGGCTGGACGCAGTCTCTGAGGGTCCTTCCGGTTCACACCCTCTGGCACTCCGTGATGCTCTGGGCGTCAGAGCGAGGAACCCTGGGTCTTTGTGCATGTGTCTATGCGCCTGCTGGTGCGGATCGTGGGGTCGCTTTTGGATTTCCATGGCAACTGCTCCTCTGTCACCCCATTGCTCCCAAAGGTTTGAGTGTTGCTTTGCAAATTTACATATATCTGCATGTCATTAACATAGAGGAGGGGCCGGAACTTATTTGGGCAACTATCCCTGATAGTTCATTTTGCTTTGCTACTATCCTGCCTGATGATCTTGTGGGCTGTGCATGCGTGAGTGTTTTACTTATCAGTGTTCCCAGATTTGGATTGGGTAGATGGGCTGTGATAGTGACCACCAGTTCCTGATCTCCAAGTTCTCTTACTGAACCATTAGCATGAATTCACCCAGGGATCCCAAACAGAAATACAGCTCCCTAAATAATTCCAAGTCTTGGGGAAATACCAATTCTACCCTTTCCTGGCTCTGTGGCTTTAAGTTAATGCCCCTCCCTGTGGTTCAGTTTCCTTCTCATTAGTGGGGACACAAATCCCTAACTCACTAGGTTGTGTAAAGGTTAAATGGGATGCCACTTTTACACAGCTTATTGGTGTTTCTGGCACAAAGTAACCACTCAATGGTTGCTCCCCCTTCACTCCCTCATAGAGCCCAGTTCCTCTCAGAACCTGGTTTTTGTTTGTTTGGGTTTTTTTTGTACCGGGGATCGAACTCTGGACCTTGCACTTGCAAGGCAGGCGCCAGAACCACGGAGCTAAATCCCTGGCTCAGAACCTAGTTAAAGCAAATCAACTTCCTTTGCAGCTCCAGACAGGACAACTAGACACAAGGAAGAACTTCTGGAAGTCAGGGCAGACTTCATTCCAGGCACAGGATGAGGACTCTTAGTTTGCCTGTTTGTCCTTCTTGGAGACTGGAAGCCAGGTTGGTGCAGCATGGACCCGCCCACACCCCCCCACAGTACACACACACACACACACACACACACACACACACACACAGCTTTGTCTCTTTCATGGAACCCACTGTTTCCAGAAACCTTACATTCTCAGCCCAAAAGGCCCTGGAGCCTGTCATGGGTGAGAGGTGGTAGCTGAGAAAAAACCCTCCAGGAGTGAGATGTTTAGGATGGAACAGGGCCCTGGGAAAGGCAGAGAGCAGAAACTTTGTAGTGTGTCTGAGCCTTTGCCAAAGAGGACTGGGGAACCCTGGGGTCACTCTCTTGCCCTTTCTGGCCCTCAGTTTCCCCATTATGGACACTTGAGACTTCTCTGCTGCAACATATATGGGAGGGGGGAGTAAACTCAGTATAAAGAACCTTTTTTACTGCTGCAGCGAAGCAGCGAAGTGGGGCTGTGCAGGCAGAAGTGGGGCTGAGATGGAGCAGTAGAACTTCCTCCTGGAAGCTTGTTTGGACTCCAACTGCCAAATAGCCTCCTCAAAGGCTTGGAAGTCATTACTGGATCTAACTTCTACCCTTACTGCTTTAGTGGAGGCTCCTTCCTGTCCTCCTTTCTCCCAATATCTCTGTAACCTTAAGAGCCCTGAGGCAGAAAAAGTGGTAAAGGGCAAAAACCAGTTCCATTATGTGTTGGTGTTTTTGTCAATTAGGTTCAGATAATTAAAATAAATGAGACTGGCTTCTATCCTGGATAGAAGGTTGTTGGTGATGGAGAGGGGCTATAGGAGCTGGGTTCTGATTGGTTGGTTGGCTCCTGGGAGGAGGTAGGACTGTATAGGGGACATACCTTGCAGTTGTCACTGTAACTGCTGTATGTAGGCCTGCTATCTGTTGGCAGTAGGCCAGCCCATTCCCTGCAGCCACCTGTGCTCCACAGGTGAGAGTTCTAGGGACGGGCTGAGAGTCTAGCCGTGCCCAGTTGGCCCGCCTGTGTCCCACTCTGGGGGCCAATTAAGTCTGTATCCCTAGCCGTGCCGATTAACAGTTAATAAGGCAGCAAACACCTGCAGCTATGGAGGAGAATTAAGAGCAACAGTCGGCATAATACACAACCCGATAAGTGAGCAATTAACAACCGGAGAAAGATTAATAGAAGCAATTATGTCCTGCTCAGAGCTCTGTAAATATGACTGTCAATGGCCAGGGGATTCAGTCCAGTCTCACCTGGCCCCACCCCAGCCCACAGCCTCTACTGATGGTACAGCCAGCCAGACCAGCCTGTGGGGCCTCGGCCACAGAGGTGTGTACACATGGAACAGGGACAGATATGCAAATGCACACATAGACATGCGTACACAGGTACACAAGGGAGGTGGCTCAGAAGATGCAGTTACACAGATACAGAAATCTCCCACTGTCACTCACAAATTTACACACAGAAGTATACACACACACACATCCTTCCAGAAATATGCACAGACATGCACAGAAAAATACCCATACCCACAGTGTTCCAAAGAGATCGTTCCATCTTTTACACAGAACTAGAGCCACACTGACTGCTAGACACATAGTGTCACATATACAAACTAAAACATGTAGACATACCCTGCTTCGTACTCAAGGGATCGTACAGGTATGCATATGACATTTGCCCTTCTTTAATGCTTACCTTTGGAAGGGTCCTCTATAGTGGGTGAAGAGTGCAGCAGAACACTGGCTCGAGGCAGCTGGAGGGAGGACAGGAGGAGACTCGAAAGGGATAGGATGGATGCAAACACATATGTAACCATGTCTGCCTGTATGCATGTGACTCTAAGCATGTGCATCCTTGCAAGACTGTGTCTTATCAATGTATGAGTATGTTCCTTGTGTAAGCATTCATGTGCCTATATAAATGTATAGCCACATGGGTGTGTGGTTGAGAATGTGTATGTGTGCTTGTATCTGGTGGGTCTGTGACTACACATGGGGGTCTCTGATTCATGCATGATGCTGTGTCAGCGCCTGTGTCTGGGTGGCTTTGCATTCTTCTTGTCTCAGTGCTGGGGCTGGTGAGGGGGCTGCTTCCCTGGGGAACCCAGGAATTCTGATGATGCCTGAAACCAGAGTTTACCTCCAGGCAATGGGGGCTGAGGACAGTCAAGGATGCTTTAGTATGTCTCGGTTGACTTGGTTTCCCAAATAGGGACTCTCAGCCCCTCTACAGAAAGACACCTGAAGGTTAATCTCTCCTGACTGAGAGATGAACCAGGAATTCACAGAACACCCTTGCCCCTACCCAGAGCTTTCCATGGAAAAGCCCTAGACCAAAGGCCCCCAATCTGGGGTACACAGCATCATACTCAGAGACCCCAGACCACAGGACAGTCATGCAGACACATAAACATAGACCATCATGAATACAAACACATGAGTGCCACTCAGATGAGCCACAGGCTCAGCACACAATCACACACACCTACTACACTTCTACCTGCCCACATACCCATGGCATCCTCTGACAGGCACCCCATCTCCCCAGCACCAGCCTGGCCAGATGGTGGAGGCTGGTGGCCCCCAAGAGAGCTCTCCATCATTGCCAACCCAGAGGCTGACAGGCAGTCAGGTTCATTGAGGCCTGGCTCTGCCAGAGGGGGCGGGTGTGTAAATGAGGAGGTAATAAAGCTTGCCAACGTCTCCCCCACCCCCCTGCCCCAGACCATGATGGGGCCTGCCCCAGGGCCCCTCACTTGGACAGGGAGGAGGTTCTGTGCTAGAACACAAGAGACACTGCTGCACACACAGTCATGTATGAGACACAAAAGGACCTGGGACACAAGTGGACACTCTCCCTTTAATCACACAGGGATGAGCCACTCCCCCATTCAGGATGAACTTGCAGAGAACTTGGCCAGCCACACTCCCCACCTGAGAACAGACAGAAAGAAGTGATGGTCAGGGAGAGATGCATTTGAAGGTCCTACAGTCAAAACATCTGCCTGTCAGGTGGTCCTGTTCAGTCCATCCAGGCTTGGTTTTATTCCTTTAATCTTTGCTACTCATTTATTCAACCAATAAGGACAATGAATAAATCATTACATTCCTTCCAGTGCCTGGCTGACCTCCTGGATCCTGGTCTCAAGGTACAGCTGCTGGGGAAGGAGAAAAGGGGGGTTGGGCTTAGAGATCAGGTGGGGTATGAGGGGTGTCCCCAGACCCTACTTCTTCCTCAGTTTCTCAAAATGAAAAAGAAAATGCTTCTACCACTAAAGGGAAAAATGCCAAACCCCAGGATGATAGATAATAATAGCTAACACTTACACATGCTCTTACTTTGTGCCAGGCACTGTTCTAAGTGCTTTATGTGAATTAACTCAATACATTCTCATAACAACTCTAGGAGGCAGCTACTATTATTAACCCCACTTGGGGGCACAGGGAGGTTAACTTGCCCAAGGTCAAACAGTTTGTCAGAGCCACCCCAAATGTTTAAATTGCCAAGGGCAAGATTACTAGAGGAGGCTTCTACCCTTCTACCCATTCTCCTTCCTGTTCTACCCCGGGCTCCATCCTGCAGCCTCAGGGCCCTGTACACCTGTCTGTGGACACTCCAGCACTCCAGTCCCCACTTGGTCCACAGTAGTGGAAAACTGCCACCTTATGAGGTGGGAAAAGGGCTGGTTGCATAGGCCCTGGCAGCTGTCTAAGTACTGTTTGGGCAGTAAATTCTAGGGTCCTGGGTTGAGGTATGGTCTAAAAGGGGCTGGAGCTCCAGACAGACACAACCTAGCGGCCCTTTGGACCTTGTAATTCCTCACCTCATACAGAAGAGGGCCAAAGTTGTGTCATCTGAAGTACGGGGTCCAGAGCTGAGTTTTCTGTGTCCCAGATCTGAGAGTCCTGGAGCTGGTGAATTCTAAGGTCTAGGATAGGATCCCAGTCATTGTAGCCAGACAATCTCTCCTACGGGGGGGTGGGGAGAGCCAGAGGTGGCTGAGTTCCCTGTGTCCCCCCAACCCAGCTTGGACCTTACTAAGTTCAGGCCATTGCCACCTACAGGAGTACTTTGCACCCAGCTCCATGCTGGGTGCCAGGGGTGGAGGGCTTGCAAGATGACTTGATTCCTAATCTTTTCACCCTTCCCACTCCATTCTCAGCTGTCCCCCACCTTCCTGCACCAGGGGTTAATGAAGAAGTGGGTCTCTGGGGTTTGAATGGGACCTTCTGCAGTTCCCAGTTTCTGCTTTGGGGACCCCAGGATTCCTGTTCAGTCTCCAGAGACTTTTTCACATAATTACCCAGGCCAGGAATTTCGATCTCTGGTGCCAGCCAGGCCCTTGTTATGCAAATGGAGGCAAATGAGATGCAAACAGAGCAGTCCCAGATTAACAGAGAAATCCCCAGCAGCTGGAGGAGTCACTGTAAAGTCAGCTTGCTCCAGCTTCTTGATTCCTCTCACTCTGGCTCTGTCTACCTGGGTCTGCCTGGGCCTGCCTGTCTTGCCACCACCCTCCTGCCCAACTCAGGAGCTGTCTGCTAAGATACAGGAAGTGTTTAGACAAGGCAGGACACTAAGGCCACCATCTTTCCAGCCTGAGATCTCTGCCCCTCCCCCCCATTTCTGAGAGATCCAGGCTGGGGAGGAAGTTAAGGGTGGTGTCTTCCCCGGGTTTGGCGCCTGTGGAAGAGGAAACTCAAACATGCACACATGTGTACACACACAGGCAGAGGTGGACAGCAGCTCTGACACATAACAAAAACACTCCTTACACAACTGCACTCAGCCTCACACATAGCACTGTACAAATTGGGCTCCACCTCCACCCCTTCACTCCCTGACACTATACATTGAATCACAGCCAACAACAGGCTGCAGTGCGGTGGGACAGTGGACTGGGTCCTCACCCTGGGACCTGGAGGGGGAAGGGTGCTGCTAGTAGAAGGCCCACGGTCAGTGTGAAGACAGAGGGAATCCATGGCCCTCCTCTGGCCATGACCTTGGAGAAGGAAGAGTCCTTCAGAAGAAGCCCAGGGTGGGCAG